ACCTACATTTAGGAACACATTTATGTACGGGAACAGTGTCAGCACACCCATGCCTAACATTTGAGGGAGTCAGTGTAGGGCAGAGAAAGTCCAAACATCATTACAATGGGCAAGGATTTGGGTATTTCTGTATTCCAAATGAATTGGGAATGAAGCCAGCCACCATGTTTCAGTTTAAGGGTGTTCCTTTAAAACTGGTTTCTACTGTATGCAGGGCTCAGTCCTGTCCTGTGGCAAAAACAAAGTGCTATTCAGAAGAGTTTCTAGCCCCCTTTGTGCTACAAGTTGTTTTATACTGGTCTATTCTTGCAGTGAGGACAGCCATTTTATATCAATTAAAATGATCAGTGCCCCTAGAGAACTTCAGCAAGCTACAAGGTCCACTAGGTTCTCGTACATATTGTCCTATGGCTACTGTGGCTTCCATCTGCATAAAAGCAGCCAAGAAAACTGTTAGGTCAAGGTGCAAGCCCTTCCTAACACAGACTCTTGGCAGGATTCTGAATTATTTATTGGTCTGCACAGCCTGTTTCACTAAAGCTCGCCTCATTGTATTTCCAGGCTGAGTCTCTTGCTTTTCCACTTGGAAGACAATTCCTTCTGATCTGTTTATCCTTATTGACAAATAATTTTCATCTGAATCTTACTCCTTACTAAACTCAGCTTGTTCCATGATGATAAAAGGACACCTCTTTCCCCTAAAGCCTTTTATGTCTTGAAGGACAATCACCTTTCTTGTTATTATTGTGTACTAATGGCCTGCGTGCAGTTAGACTATAAGTTAGCTGTTCAAAAATATTGGATTCCTCATATTAGAGTTTGATAAATGGTAGCTCGCTAAGATGTAGTTTAACCTGTCTAAACCATAAAAGCTCCTGTGACCTTCATTCTTTCAAGGTGAGGTCAGTCCCAGAGGATTCATAGCTACATATGAAAGCTATACTTTATTCTTATCAGGCACCCAATGTCTTCTATTCTGTTTAAAGTGTTCCATTCACAAATACAAGGAAAATATATACCTGTATCAGCATTCTATGGCATACTAGGAATGCAGTGGGTTTAGTTTTGTTCATTATAAACAAGAAGCTTTCTCAGAATTTGAACATTAAGTTTTACAGTTATACCGTGATCTATCAGCTGAGGATTGTACACCACCTCATATGACCAAGTGCAATGTAGTTCCCAGAGATTTCTTCCCAAATGATATTCTTTATATAATAGATGTAACCAGAAAAATAGAAACAAAGGTATTGGTACATTGCTGTAGTTCCATTTAGTCATCATCAGTTTAGTTTATCATCATGACCTATAGTCAAAATGTCTCTCAATGTAATGTCCCCAAAGACTGCAAGCTTGTTTGACTTAACACATTCCATGGGATCTAGGTTCATAGAAGAGCAGGTCTACAGAGCTGCTCACTCTGTTATGCCAGAGTGGAATTACCCGTGAGTGGTCCTTCTCTGCCTAATGTATTGTAAGACGTCAAAGGAAAATTTAGTTTTTGTTACTTGCTTCTGTTAATCTTTCTCCCTGACCAGTTCTTCATTTTTCCTTCACAAAATATTGCACATTGGAGAAAGTGCAGAATTTTTTAATAGCATGGATAATAACTTCAACATTCTTTCTGTAGCTGTTTAGGATATAAATTTTGTGGCCTGTCATATTAGTTGTGGTCCTATTGGCTTTTCACAGGCATTCTCTGGGGCAAGGCTTTCGAAACGTTTATTATGGTGACTTTGATATGTTTCCAAAGCTCGTAGGCTTGAAGGCACCTTGAAGATGCTAGAAACAGATGCGGGCCCCTCCCTTCCCAAGGATGGCTGTCAGGCCCTGGTGCAATTTCCTCTCACAGGTGTTGGACAAAAAAATGCCCCATCTATATTTTAACCCTCAAGAATGAAGATTCAGTGAAAGAAAATTATTCCTTTTCACTGTATTCTCAAAGTAAAGAATATTTTACAATTTGTAATTTTTTTGCTTAAATTCTTTTATTGGTACATTTTCGGTATACAATACATTTACATTTCTCATTGGGTTATTTAAAGATATTAGCTAGGTGTCTGAACATGCATGGTGATGATTCATTTGGATTGGTAATAGACTGGATTGAGAAACACCTGGATTAGGAAAGCTCACTTCTGGGTGTGTCTGGGTGGCTCGGTGGTGGGGGGAGCTTTGAGGAATGTCTGGCCCCTGGCCCCTTCCTCTCTGGCTCTTCCTTCCCATTCTGCTTCTTGGCTGAGAAGAGGTGAGCAGCTTTCTCTGCCAGGCCTTTCCGCCATGATGTTTCTGCTTCAGAGCCAGGTGACTCTATAGACTGAAACCAAGAACCAAAATAATATGTTCCCCCTTAAATTGCTTTCTTGCATATTGGTCACAATGACAAAAAATGACCAATACTGTACAACCATCAAAATTAAAATATTAATTTATTTGTTTTATTTTGCTTTTAGAGTTCAGGGGATCATCATTTCACAAGATGGGAGTTTATGATTGGAAACAGTTTTGTTTTGTTTACAAATTGACTTGTAATACCCTTCCCTCCCCTTCCCTCCCTTCCCTTCTCTTCCCTTCTTTTCCCTTTCCTCCTCTCCCATCTCTTTTTCTTTCTTTCTTTTGGAGCTGGGGATTGAACCAGGTCTTTTCATATACTAAGCATGTGTTCTTCCACTGAGCTGCATTCCCAGTCTTTGTATTTCTTTTTTAGTACATGCTTTGACCGAGACACATGGTAGCCAGAAATGTCCAGCTCTTTTTGAAAGAAGATGGTAGAGAAGATATTTCAAATAAATGTGGGAGAGCAATATATCACAGAATGTTTTGCTTTTAGGGATGGTAAACACTGAAAGGAAATTTGTGTGTAGTCATATAAAGACTAGAAATTGGCCTAGTGATTTTACAATTGACCAAGGAGCCCTAAGAAGGAAAAGAAAACCATAAAACATACTCATATAATACTTTATATTTCAAGAGTAAAAAGAAGCCATGGTGATTAAAATGTTTTGATATTATTTAAAGCTCTGACTATTAGGGTAATTATCAACATTAGAATTCTCTGTGCCAGGCATGGTGGTACATACCTGTAATCCCAGCACTCGGGAGGCAGAGGCAGGAGGATTCCCATGAGTTTGAGGATAGTGTGGGCTACCTAGTAAGTTCAGGGTCAACTGAACTACAACAAGAGACCCTGTCTCAAACAAACAAACAAAAAGCCAAACAAACAAACAGAACAGAAATCAATGGAATTAAAAAACAGAAAAACAGAAGAATCAATGAAAACAAAAGTTGGTTCTTTATAGAAATCAACATTGGAAATCTCTGGATCTATCAGTCTACACAATCCCTTTCTTTACATGTTAAAGATTTATCTATTATAAGAAATTAAACCTGTTTTGAGGTTTCCTTAATGACAAGTTTTTCTCCAGATGTTCTCTGCCATGTGAAATCATTATCAGATATGCGCAACTAGAGTTGAGAATTAAATTTCCTGGTAACCCAGGCTAAAATGAGGGTGGCTTTCAGAATATGTAATTAAAACTAGCACTATTTCATCATAAAGATATAAAGTGCTTCAATTCAGTGTTAATCAGTCTCTGTACAAGATATCTCTTTACTGCTTATGAGGCGTGTGTGTGTGTGTGTGTGTGTGTGTGTGTGTGTGTGTGTGTTACTAAAAGCTAATCCCAGGGACTTGTCTACAACAGGCAAGTGTTCTACAGCTGAACAATATTCCACATCCCCTCTGTGCTACTTTGACTGTATTACTGTATTCCAATTCAGATCTTTCATTCCAAGCTTTTCTTGCATAGCCTCAGGTTCTAATTTTTAGTAGACAGTAATAGGAACTTACTCTGAGTTCCTAAGTATAATGGAGCAGCCATGCATCTTACACTCCACTGGGCATTAAGTCACAGTAAGTTTTGCGTGTTGTGACGAGAAGAGAAGCCTCACTGGAGAATGGCTCCAAAGTAACCCCATGGAGTCTTTAAACTGGATTTAATTACCTGACCTCTGATTCCCCATCCCCAGTGAAGCATGCAAACTTTGAATCTGGTAGAACCAGCCTAGCTGTAGCTGCAGAATAAGGGTTGGTAAGCTACTGTTCCATGGCCCCCATTTGATAAGCAACTTATGTTTGTTTGCAAGGTTTCTTGAAACATAGTCACTCTCATTCATTTACGTATTTCTATGGCTGCCTTTGCCAGAGATGAGTGGTTATGACAGAAGATGGCCTGGAAAGTCCTATTACTTACGGCCCTTTACAGGAAAAGTTGCTAACTGTTAATCTAGAGAATGTGTTCCATGCTTTTATTAGCTCAGTGTGACTTAGATATTCTGGATAAAAATGTTTCTAGTATTTATGATTTCTCAATGCTTGAAATTAGATTTTCAAAAATTCTGAAGAAAAATTACCTATTAACATTGTAGATGCTTTAATAGGTACCAAATAGTATCTCACGGTAGCTTTAGTTTATAATTTCTTGCTGAATAATGGTAGCAGGTAGGACTTTAAATTTATCAGCCATTTGTAGATTTTGTGGAAGTATTTGTGCGGTGCTAATTTCATAATATTATAAAATTTGTTTGCTTACTTTTTATTATCATCAGTTTGAGGGAGTTTGTTTCCAATACTGTCTTGAATTCCATTTCAATGTATATGTAGTTCGAATATTATAATGGTCTGTCATTTCCATTTCATGTTTCCTAATGACAACTTTGTTGAGTAATTATTTTTGAAGAGGTCTGACATCTTAAACATTTTATATTTAGGGCTTTTTGTGGTTTCTGTAATAATCCCAAGATCTTACCAAGATCACAAGGGCACGCATCAATTCTTTTTTTATCAAAAGGTTTATATTCCCTCGGTTTATATGTATAGCCCTATAACTTTCCGTTATAAATTAGCATTTATTCTACAAAGTAAAGAATTGTCAGCTACCATATTTCATGGAAGCAAATCCCCTGCCAACCCGACCCCATCACGTGCCTGTCCATGTCTCTCACACGGGCCTCTGCTTCCACAGCGCCCTCCTCAGGGCACCCTTCACCTCTGCGTTCCTCAGGCTGTCGATCAGGGGGTTCAGCATGGGGTTGAAAAGGCTATAAAACAGGGACAGGATCTTCTGCTGCTCCTCAGGATGGCGGGACTTGGGGGCCATGTACATGGCAATGGCGCTGCCAAAGAAGAGCCCCACCACGCAGAGGTGGGAGGAGCAGGTGGAGAAGGCCTTTCTGCGGCCCTCCCCCGACTGCACCCTCAGGATGGCAGCCAGGATGCGGCTGTAGGAGACCAGCACCAGGCACAGGGGCCCCGCTAAGATGAACACACAGGCTGCAAAGATGACGACTTGATTGAGCCTGGTGTCAGCACAGGCCAGCTTGAGGACAGACAGGATTTCACAGAAGAAGTGGCTGATTTGATGAGGCCCACAGAAGGGCAGCCTCAGCATGAGAACCACATGGACCAGGGCCAGGAGGAAGCTAAGAGCCCAAGAAGTGGCAACCAAGACAGCACACACCCTCCAGCTCATGATGACAGTGTAATGCAGGGGGTGGCAGATGGCCACATAGCGATCATAGGACATCACCACCAAGATCAGGCACTCTATGTGAGCAAAAGCCAAGTATAAAAATGTCTGCATTATGCATGGAACAAAGAAGATGGTTCTTCTTTGATTCACAAGATTCACCAACATCTTGGGGACATTGTTGGAAGCATAGGACACGTCTACAATGGCCAGGTGTGTGACAAAGAAGTACATGGGAGTGTGTAATCTGGGGTCCAGGCAGATAATCCCAAGGATGATTCCATTCCCCAGGAGTGTGAAAGCATAGAAGAGAGAGAAAAGTCCAAAGAGGAAACACTCCAGTGCTGGATCAGCCTGGAACCCCAGCAGGGTGACCTCCGTGATCCATGTCTGGTTGCTGCCCATGCTCCTGTGGCAGAGGCACAACCTCCTCCAAGACAGGAAGGTCAGAGCTGCAGAGCAAGGGCACAGAGTATTTAGTAGCTGTTGTAGAGTAAGCATCTAGAATTGTGTCAGTTAAGATGTATTTCCTAGAATTTTTTTGGATATGTTGCAAAAAAAGTTTGCTCATAAAAATGAGAAAAAAAAACCCTATTCTGTCAATGGGATCATTAAAAAAAGACAAATCTATACAGAGATATCTTAACATATATAATACATTAAAACATAAATTAGCATAATAGGATCTACTGTGATATACTCATACACACTTGCACACGTATTTTGTTTTGGAGAATTCATGTGTTCTGCATTTCATTTTACAGTGGGAATCTTGATTCCTTTTTTAGTTAGAAGAGGATTATTCTGACAAAATCCTGCACTAGGTTATGGTTTCTTTTCCTGGGCCTGCTTACCATTGGGGTCAAGGCATGATGTAATCAGGGTCCAGTCCTCTGTTTTCTATGCTTGCCCATTAATCCACTTACCTTCTCACATCCTTTCTACACTCTTATTTCAGTTTTGAAATTCATTCAAAATAACTTCTCACATTTCCAATTTCTTTGACAATTCCTAAGACTCTCCTTTCCAGCAACTCATTGGAAGCTCTTTTTGGTACTTTTTCCCCCTATCGCCAGTGTTTGTAATTTTATTTTGAGAATTTTCCTTACTTCTTCATTAGAACCTGCTATTGAGATTTAGGCATAAGTGAAAGAACTTTTTGACTATGAGAAATGAACACATGCATGTATCTTAGCGATAGTCATACACCATTTCATGTTGTTTTAGTCAGTGATGGACTGTATATACCATGATGGTCCCATAAGATAGTACCACTTGGTGATGTTGTAATCATCTACCCTTGTGATGTACACTCTATAACAGTGACAGTGAACCTTTTAGAGCTTTCAATGATATAAACAGCCTGCAGTGGCACGTGTGCCACAGGTTCTCCACCATTGCTCTATAACGTTCAGACAGTAACATGCTCATCTAATGATATATTTCTCAGATCATACTCCCATCATGAAATGACACATGGAGTTAGGATTCAACATGACACTTCTGAGTCTCCTTAAAATGCTTAAAAGGGGAAACCAATGTACTTTAACAGTGGTTACATTTTAAAGTAAGAACTGTACTATGATTCCATTTTGCTTGGTTCTGTCCTCTTTTTCCTGTTATGATGCAATATAGTGACAAATCTCACAGCTTCTCTTGTTTTAAAGTGTGGAGGAATCTTTTGTCATTGATATCCTCCCAGTTTGGGCAACTCACACTTGCCATCAAATCCTTTGGGGAACTCCTTTCTTATCACTTGTTTATCATCCAGCTGCCCTGCTATTCAGGTGAATCCTGAGCCCATCCCAGGATGCTAATGGGTGGAGTTAGTCGTTAGTTCTTTTTAGAGAGCTCTTCTGTGGAGGGCTCTGGGTTCGTTCTGCCATTAGAGGGAGATGAGCCATGAGAAGGACAGATGGAGAAACCATGGGGCTTGTGCTGTCCATGTAAACTCTCCACATTTTTTCAGTAAACTGTCTGAAACCTATTTTTACTTTTAATTCATGTTAATATTTCAAATCCAAAACAATATTTAAAAATTTCCATCTCCTTTGAGAACTCCAAATCTTTATATTAAAATGGGATTATTTTATACAGAATATTCTTAAGGTACCTTTTGAACTTAAAATGAATTATTTTTCTTCCATTAAATTATATTTCACACTTGCTGTTTAAAAGAAGTGCAGTATTATATTACTATTTAATTCTTCTACTTTTTTTGGTACCAGGGATTGAACTCGAGACATGGCACTTGTGAGGCAGGCGCTAGAACCACTGAGCTAAATCCCCGGCCCTACTATTTAATTCTTACGGTTTGTGTTATTTTTCCTTTTAAGTAGCCGTGAGATAATTCTTATGAACTTAACCTTTGCTTATGATTTATTTATGATTATTTCCTTAGGATATGTTCTGAAAGTCAAATTGCAATGTGAAACACAGAGATATCTCAAAAGTTATTATACCTATGGGTAACTTTACAGTGGAAAATTGGCACAATTCAGGTTCATAGTTGATAGTATGTAAGAACTGATCCCACACGGTGATTAATACTAAGTATTCCCAGTTTCAACCTTTGCTAATTTACTAAGTGAACAATTTTACAGAGCTAGAATGTGTATTGCATACGTTCCTTCACATAAGTGCAGGGTCTGTTCCTGCCCTCTTTGTTGTCCTGGAAGACACACAATGGATAAGGGTGACATTGTCTCAACGGGAAACAATTTAAGAAACAATTGTTCGGTGCTACTTCTCATCCACACCTCCTATTCTCATCCAGGGAGAAAACTTCTATAGTTGTGAATGGAACAGTTTTGTTGTACCTTCCTTGATCAGTCTTCTGATTTATATGATTTATGGAACAGGAAAAAGAAATAGAGGCAGCAATGTGTTTCTACCCCCTTGATGGCACACAATATAAGGGCATGTTCTGTCTCACTGGGAGGTGGCCATGGGCTATGCCACAGATAGTAGAAAAGGATTTTTCTTCCACTTATTGACATTCACTGGATTTGCATCTTGGATTTCACAGTTTGGGAAGTTAGATCTTATTTTTTCTTTTATAAAATGCCTGGGTCAGACACAATAAAGAGACAAATACCTGAAGTGATTTCTTTAAGTGCCCACTTCAGCTATACAAAAGGAAAATTTGTCATGGATACATTGCTCTTTTCTGCCACAACATGACCAATTTAGTAATGACTGAAAATAAAACATGATCCAGAAAGAATGAAAGTAGCACAGCTAACAGTTTGCTCAGAAATACTGTTACTGCAGTACATATTAAGAATTTAATAAGCATTAGCTGTTATTAATAGTATTAAAGAAAGAAAAAAGTGAGTGAAGAATCTAACTTATTGAGATTGTTGGTTTCTCTTTTAGTTGATTTTGAGTTTGAAGAAGAAACATATTTTTCTTTCATTTGTATTGATGTTTTCATAGTTTGATCTTTAAAATTGAAAAAGAGGTTAAAGAAATACCCTAACATTACTTCTGTAAAGAAGAAAAAGTATATTTAAAACCGAAAAGACAATTCTGCCATAGTCCCTATCCCAATGGGGTGGCGAGGAGCGGGGGAGAGAGAGGAAGGGAGAGAAAAGGAGAGGATATCTTTTGGGAGGAAAGGGTTGATCTATTTAGTATATTTAACACTGGCTCAAAGGAAAAGTTTCTACTAGTCATTGTTTCAGAATGAGAGTCCTAAGGCCATCAAAAATAGGTCAGCACAAATTTGTCAAATCTTTGCACTTATTAAGAAATTACTTACCATCTCTGGTAAGTGACTTTGATTCTCAGTTTGATCCTCATGAGCAAAATAGTAATAAAAAGAAGCTGATTCTAGAACTCTGATGCCTGGGTTCGAATCCAGACTTTGCTACATTCTATCTTTGTGGGTTTTCTATGCCTCTCTGTCCTTTTTGCAAAAACAGATAGACAATAAAACCCACCTGATAGGATAGTCCTGAAGGTCAGTAGTCAATAAATTAATTCACATAAGACACTAGGCACTTAAGTATTACCATTATTATTAGAGATTTGAGACCAGTCAGTGGAGAGTAACCTCTGGATCCTGTAATCATAAGGTACATGTAATGTACTGAACAGCTCCTCTGTTAAAGTAGGAAATAAAAGGGAACATTGCCCCAACAAGCCCCAGGATTCCCTGTGGGGGTGGAGGCTTCTGTCTCCTGCACACCAAGGAGTGCATCTCATTGGAGGAGAAGCTTTTCAGAATGTGCAAAGGTGAGCCTTTAGCAGAACACAAGGAAGACATACTCAGGACAGGCAAACCATGAAACTCCTCTGACTTCAGGGTTTTATCTCTAAGCAGAGCCCTGACATTCTTTGTATTCTGTTAGCCAGATCACATCTGACCTGGAGGGCTATCTGACCCTCTTCTTGGGCACAGTCATGACAAAGCCAAGAGCTGCCATGGGGTGATGAGGGGAATGGGTGGAAGGACCAAGAGGGTCTGAGGAACTATGCCCACAGCACGGGGTTGGCAGCAGTTCCTAGAGCTCTGTTCAGGACCTGTGATAAATTCCTGGAGCCAATTATTTAATTCACTGTCTCCATATCTGCAACCCCTTCTCAGGGGTTATGAACCACTATTACTTACACTTATGCAAACTGTGATCTTTTCTTCAAACATAACTGTGGGCTTAGAAGAAACCTCAAAGTGGGCCCAGGAGGACATTAACAGCCTGGGGTGGATTCGTCTCTATAAAGGGTCCTCACTGGGAGAACCCCAGATTCGGGACTCTTCAGACCTTTATGAGAGGTTTGCTTCTGCAAATTAAAGCTTTTCCCATTGTTTAAATGAACTGACTCCCCACAGACAAAAATAATGATCTATGAGACAGAACCTTGTGTTGATGTATCCAGTCATATTCTCTCTGGAGAGAACTAAAGAATTTGCTATTTTTCTATTAGCAGGTGAATTGATGAAAGCATTTCCCATGCTTCTTCATTTTGCCTTTTAGGATTCCCAGGGCGTGTGTTATTTGTGTTTGCTAGGTATCAGATGGGGAAAGGACTTTGGTCAAAGATGTAAGCACTTAGCACAGAAAAATTAAAGGCTCAAATTATGTCATAAATTAATTTCTCTCAATACTTATTTTGTCAGCTTTACATTCCCGCCCCCAACACCTCATGCTGATGGTGGAGCAGACACTGATTTTTTGATCGCTCAAGGGTAGCGGCACTGTAGACTCTGTCACCATAGACCCCATTCCAGACAAATAGGGTTTTCTTGATGAGAAGATGTTACTGCAAATTAACCATCCCAGCTTTTTCAAAGTAAAAATATCTTTTTTTGGTTCTAACCTTTTGGATGTGTGCAACACCCCCAACCCCTCAAATTATAAATACTTTAAACTGGACAGTTCAGAGTACCTTGAATACCTCTTAGTTCTCTTTAGCCTGCCTCCCGGAGTTCTTTCCTAAACCTGAGTTAGGGCCTGCAGACTTTCACTCTTTCTCTTGGTCTCAATAACATAAGGAAATTTTGTTAATAATCTGTTAGGTCTAAAATGCAGTCATTTATGTCAACCTCAACAAACCAATAAACAACCAATAAACAAATAATGTCTCATTGCCGGAGGTTTAGCTCAGTGGTTCTGTGAGGCCAGCTGCCTCACAAGCGCAAGGTCCGGAGTTCAATCCCCGGTGCCAGAAAAAGGAAAAAAAAAGTCTATTCAAGTCTTTGGGCCAGGGATTTAGATCAGTGATTCTGCTGCCTGTCTCGCAAGCACAAGGGCCCTAGTTTGATTCCCAGTACAAAAAAAAAAAAAAAAGTTAAACAAATAATGTCTCAGATTATGAAGGAAGGGATTTCCTGCAAAATTTCCTGATAGAAACTATCATCCTAAAAGGCTTTGCCAGAAACTTCCTGAAAGGGCACCACTACTCTACACAACTTACACAAAAATACTTCTGCAAGGACATCTGCCCTGCAACTGCCTGTTCAACCTCAGACCAATCCCACTCTTATTATTAGATCTTGAGGCAAACGGTTACTGTTTTGAAATATTTCATGCAATCTTCATTTTTTTTTTTTTTTTTGTACTGGGGATCGAACTTGGGTCCTTGCAATTGCGGGGCAGGTGGAGGAAACACTGAGCTAAATCCCCAGCCCTCCTCCTCATTTTTTTACCTTTAAACATGTGTCTTTGCTCCAACTCTTTAAATAGTCCCATGCTTTACAAAAATATGAATATTCTCATTGCAATGTTATTCTATTCCCAAGTAAATTTAATTTTTCAAGAATCTATCTTTGGTATTAGGGTAGCACATGCAAAATTATTATCAGATACCAGATAAGTGTCAATTTCAGGTTAATCTTGGCTGACACAAAAGTATGTCTTTATACATATAATTAAGCTAAAACTGTTTCATTTCTTTTTTTCTATTTTGGTACCGGGGATTAAATTCAGGACCTTGTGCTGGTGAGGCAGGCAGTGGAACCACTGAGCTAAATCCCTGGCCCACAAATCTACTCTTAAAAAACAAAACAAAACAAAACTCATCTGTACAAGATATCTCTATTCTTATTTTTATTGGATGGCTAATATCCTTATATGAATAGATGTGACAGAGCAACCATGGATATTTGTAGTCCCTAGGCAGTTAAGTCATGGTATGTTTTAGATATTATCAAGAGGACAAGGATGATTCGAGCATGGCTTCAATATGACCACAGAGCCTTGTCCTTTAACCAAATCTAACTGCATAGTCACTGGTCCCCCACCCTTAGAATGGATTCTAACTTTCCCACTTAGGTGGAACCAGAACAGGTTCTAGATCTAGGAAAAGGATTGGGAAGGAATTGTCCTTGTGCACCATAATAAATTTTCACTGGAACATAACCACATACATTCACTTACATCTTATCTATGGCTGCTTTTGACAGAGTAATGTGACAGGAAAAAAGCCCTAGAATTCTTATTTTCCTGTGTCCTTTTATAGTAAAAAATCACTGACTATCTTACACTCAATGAGGAAAAACTTTTGCCAATATCACCTGCTTCCCAATTAGTAGAGTTAGATTTCCAATAATTCCAATGCCAAATAATCCATTTAAAATATTAGACATTCCATTGTGTATGAAATAACATAATGACTTTATTTTTCATATTATTCCTAATGGTAGTAAAAAGCATTGAACGTGTTCTATTAACCACTTGTATTTATATTGAGAAGTCTCTTCAGGTGTTTTGCTGATTTTGTAAAATTTGATTGTTGATATTATTGACTTGAAAACTTATATGTTATATATATCTATTTTTAGCTGGAAATGTGTGAATTTTTCTTTTTTTTATTAAATTCTTTTATTGGTACATTGTAGGTATACAACACAATTACATTTCTCATTGGGAATTGTACCTTTACATAAT